TTTGTTTGCTATTTCTACAATTTTGTCATTTCAAGAATGTTGTATAAATGAAATTATACACATGCAAATTTTTGGGATTGGGTTTTTTTCTTTTCTTTTTTCAGCATGATTCTCTGGAGATTCATCCAGGTTATTGTTATATCAATATTTTTTCCTTTTTTATTGCTGAGTTATTGCATTGGAAAGTGTTAAACTCTTTGCTCCGTTACATAAAATTTTAAAAAACTTGTGAGAAAAAAGAAAACCTATTACATTTACCCATAGTTTCGCTTTCTTCATTTTCCTGATATTTCATGATCTATTTATTTCTTTTTTTCAAATTATTTCTGTTTGGGGGACTTTATTTAGTCATTTTTTCATGGTTTGCCTGCTGATGACAAATTTTCTTAGTTTTTTTTATTATTAGAGAATGTCTTGATTTACCCTTATTCTTGAAGGATATTTTTGCTGTTATGGATTCTGGGTTGATAGTTCTTTTCTTTCAGCATCTGAAATATATTGTCCTACTTAGTGCCTTTTGGCCTCCCTGGTTTCTGACGAGAAATCCTCTGTGATTTGGTTTTCCCCTATAGCTAAGGTGTCATTTTTCTCTGGCTGCTTTCATGGTTTTTTCTTTGTTTTTAGTTTTTGAAAGTTTAATTACTATGTGGATTTCTTTGGATTTATCCTATTTGGAATTTGCTCAGCCAGAGTTAGAAATTTTTAAGCCATTATTTCTTTGAGTACTTTTTTTAGTTCCTCCTTCTTCCCTCTCTTGTTCTGGAGTTCTGATGACACAAATGTTAGATCTTTTGTAATAATCTCACAGGTCCCCAAGACTCTGCTTTTCTTTTCTTTTTTTGACCTACTTTTTCTCTGTTGTTCAATTGAGTAGTTTTTATTGTTCTATCATTTAGATCACTGTTTCCTCTGTCTCCCTTTCATTCTGCTTTGAGCCCATCTACTGAGATTTTTATTTTGGTTATTGTATTTCTCAATTCTAAAATTTTATTTTTTCTTTATATCTTTTATTTCATTGTTGAGATATTTTGTTTATTTGTTGAGGCTTTTACTTTTATTCATTTGTTTCAAGCATGTTCATAATTGCTTGTTGAAGCATTTTTATGGCTGTTTTAAAATCTTTTTCAGATCATTCTGTTCTCTCTGTCATCTTGGTGTTGGCATTGATTGATTGGCTTCTAATTGCTGGATGGGAATGGAAGTTCTGGATCCCAGTTGGTTTCCCCTGATGTGGGGCTCGTAACCATTGGTGGTGATAAGAGTACAAATCTCCACAAGGTCTCCTCTGATACCCCAGTAGGGAGGGGCAGGGGCACCTAGTCATTTCTGGGTGGGAGGGTGGATGTCCAAGCTTCCCATGTGGTCTCCACTGATATTGGCAGGGAGGGTGGCTTAGCCATCTGGGATAAAAGCACCATCTCTCTACTTGGCCTTCTCCGACATCACTCTGGCAGGGGTTTTGGGTTTCTTGTTATAGTCCTCTTGAGGGTAGAAATCTAGACTTTTCACTCAGGCTTTGCTGGTGCGGATGTGGGCGAGGCCATCGTTGTTGTTGCTGCTGCTGCTTTATGATGTTTAGCTTAAGTAGAGTGGTCATTGTCTAAGTTTTTTCTGTCTTGCTAGACTACCTCTTTCCTAGTTCTTTAGCTAGAGAGAGCAGGCATTTGTTGAGTGTGTGTTTGTTCGTCTGTACCTGTTGTGTTGGGTTTCTGGGTAGCTGCTTTTGGCACTACTTCATTTCCTTGGTTTTTGGTGCTCATCATCCTTTATCTGGGCTCCCAGGTGAGCCTCCACTAAGTCTTTCAGGCCATCTCTGGCTTCTCTGACATATCCTGTACACTTCTGCCAGTGTTTTCTGCCTACCAAGAACTGACCATGTCACTCTCCTGCTAATATTATTTATTATTCATAAAATAAAGTTAAGCTTCTGTAAGGTACTGCAGATCTGCCAAGATTCAATTCCAACTTTGCCTTTCCAGCTTCAACTTCTGTTGAGTTTCTCTGCCTATCCCTTTGCTCTAGATGTGCTATATACATTAGCTCATGTTCTTCCTACTGTTTCCAGGGCCCTTATTTGCTCTAGGAAAATATACTTTAGAAGCTAAGAGCACTGAAGTTGGACTGTTTAAGTTTAAATTCCAGCTCAACATTTTCTAGCTGGGAGATCTTGGGCAACTTTGTCTTTCCATATCTCAGTTTTCCTATCTGAAAAAAATGAAAATAACAACATCTACCTCACAGGATTATTATGAGGCTTTAATTAAATATTCTACATGAAACACCGAGCAAATTGCCTGGCTGCAGAGGATGATCTCAATAAATGTGAGCTGTTACTATAACTAGTTATTAAATGAATATTTAGTAGTTCAACATTTAATTTGAACGTTACCTTTCAATGAAGTCGTTATGGGTCCTTTCACTGCAGTCCCGTTATTGGAATTAATTACTCTTTCCCACTGCCCACTTAATTTACATTGCTTTTACACTTGATTCTGTTTGCACCATAGGAAGCTAGATTGTAAATCCCTCTTGCTGACCACATTTGTTCATTTCTTGATTCACTCATTCAAAAGAAGCACTTACTGTGAGTCAAGTGTTGGGCACAGAGGTGACTAAAATGTGGGTCTTCCTTCAGGGTGTTCTCAGTCCCTTAGTAGCTGCAGACTGCTTGCTAAATCAATGGTTTTAGTGGAGCTTAATAAATATTTGTTGTTGACTTAAGACAAGCAGGCTTTGCCTTGGGTTAGGAAGGTAGGGTGCCTCCAGTTAAACAGGCTCACGGTGTGTTAAAGTTAGAACTCTTTGCAAGTCAACCCTAGTACTGACCTCTGCATCATCCTAAGTGAAAGCCCAGAATTTGTGTCAGATTATTGCAACGGCATTGGGATTCCTGTGGTCTGTGGCCATATGTGAGTCTTGTCTGAACCCTGGTTCTCTCATGGTCAAATCAAGACAGAGCTCTTGGTTGGGGTGTTAGGAGTTATATCAATGTTACTGATGACTCAGAAACTGTTCATTCAGTTTGAAAGCCTGTGTGTGGCAATCCTAGCCTCATACACCTTGACTCTCATTACTGTGACAGAATGTGCTTCAAAGCACTTGTTTGCCAAACATTGTGCTAGCCACCACATGTGCAGTAGGATGGGACATGGGAGCCTCTACAGATAGGAGCTCGTAGTCTTCCTGCTGGGGCCGTGTTTAGAAGCACAGAGCTGATTATTTCACTGTGACCACCTTACCAACAATACTGTAGTAGACAGACTGGATATAAAGCCGCAGTTTCAGAGCCAAGGATGGAATGATGCAAGAAATGCAAGGAGGAAGTGTAAATTTCCATAAAGCTATTTGGCTGTGAAGGGAAAGAGAATGAGAGAGGACGTACAGGAGATACTGAGTGAAGGGAAAATTATTTAAGGCTGGGGGAAAGTAAGTATATGTCATCGACAGGTGCTTTATCAACCCTGTAGAGAAAATCGGGGTTTCTCTCAACTCAGTCATTTCTCTGAAACCATGTGTATCCTCTATCCAGTCTGTAATGTGGGGGTTGTTTTTTCACTCGAGGTTTTGCCCCTCAGACTCCATGTGACTGTCCTGGGGTCAGTCTTTGGTGGTTTTTGAGAGTGTAAAGTGGAGGGTCAATGGGCTTAAAAAACCTGCTTTTGTACTTTGGTATATGAATCTGTAAGGAAGTACTTATCTTGTGCTTCAAGTTTACTTTTCTTTCTTTTTTTTCCCTAACTTTATTTTTTTATATTCATCTCTTAGGGCCTAGCAATGACTAGCATGTAGTTGGCATGGATACATGCTGATTGATTGAATAAAAGAAGGTACATGGGCCTTCAGTGATTCAGGAGAAATGGTAGTTTCCCCAGATGAGCTAGTATTTACATGGTGCTTGCACTTGTTCTGTTGCCAACAAGAAGAAGACTGAGATGGGCAACTATGAGCCATGACAAAAGAGGACTGAGAATAGACAGTTGAGACTGCAATGGAAGCAGAGACATTTTAATGTATTCAACTCTAGAATAAGACTAGTGTGTCTTGTAAGAACATCCTTAGATTTTAAATGTGCTTGGTTTGGGTAATCCCAATCTGAATTCAAAGCTTAATCCACTCAGGTTTGTTATGAGAATTAACTTTGACAATGCCTATAAAGTACTGGATTGAACATAGAGAAAGCAGGCCCTTTCAGGGACTACTTTTTTTTTGCACCCTGAATTTCTTGACCCATAAGATGGAGATAGGAAGGTGCCACAAATCTTTTGTGACTGGCAGAAGCAGCTGAAATAAGTCTTTGTAAAGTTATCACAAGCAGAAGTCAGATGCTGCAGAAGTTTGACAGGATGTGGTGATGACGAATGAATGAGTTTGCACACATGTAACAGGGGATAGCTCAGTCCTCAGAGCTCCGTGACTGATTTAATTCTCCCTACATGCTCCCAAGTGAAGCTGGCAACAGGGAAGAGCTTTCCTAGTGGCACTGAGTGGAGGCCTTGATCCTTCTGCATGGAAGACACAGGCTGTGAGAATCTACATATCAGCATTTCCAGGTTTTTAATACCCACACAGAGCGGTGTGAAACTTCATTTCATGGCCTGTCTGGGCACTGCTATCTGGAAACCAAATTCCCTCCCTTCCTGTTCCAGAGAGGCTGCATTGCAAATTTCACTGATGAGACACCCGCCAGCACATCCTACTCTTGCTGTTTTGTGGGTTTTGGCTGAGAAGAGGGGAGAGGAAGTGTGGGTCTTTGATTTTTACCTCTTGCTTCCTTTCTGCTACAACCTTGGGAAGTTGGTTTCTCTGACTGTCTAGTCCAAATTCCAGATGAGACTCTAGCAATAGGCTTTTCTCCTCTCAAGGGATGCTATTCATCCCTCCAAGGATTCAGATAATATACCGCCAGTACTTCTCTGTTGGGTTTATGAAGTCACCAGGTCTAAGGCATGATGTGATCTCCTAGGTTTGTGATAGTTTTTGTACTGCTTCTTTTTTCTTACAGTCTGAGAAGCCAACAGGGGCCAATCAGGTTTTAGAACCGCTACAGGCTGGTAACAACATCATCAAGGATGAACTGTTCTTACCAGGAACTTCTCTACTCCTGACAGCATACCTCTCCGCAGGTAGCTAAAGGGATAATGAAATTACTACCCTTGAGCACTGAATAACGAGACAGTCACCTGTGTCGGGGCTTACAGGGGTCACTCACTGCTGCTACTGAAGTATATAAGATGAAATGTACTGTCACCAGGTACATTTCATTTTATACTTGGCCATTCAGTGATTTTTTTTTTTTTATTATCAAGATGTGTGGTACAATTCAGGGGTCAGGTATACAAACATTGATTATGCAGGTACCCTTGTTGATGAGGTATGCCCCTCCCTACCCTAGCAGTTTCCCTCAACTACCAATCCTACCCGCCCTCCTCTGACAGTTTTCCACTACTGCCAATTGCTTTCTTATAGTATTATAATTGTTCAAGGTCCACTTATGAGTGAGAATATTTGGTACTCTATTCTTTGTTTCAGTGATAGATATTGAGTATGAGTGACTCTAAATCCATCCAAGTTGTTGCAAAGTCCATATGTTTGTCCTTCTTTATGGCTGCATAATATTCCATTGTGTATATGTACCACATTTTTTTTATCCAGTTCAGCTTCGATGGGCAACACGGTTGGTTCCATGTTTTTGCTATTGTGAATAGAGCTGCAACAAACATACGTGTGTAGGTATCTATTTTGTAGAATGATTTGAATTCCACCCGGTATATTCCCAATAGGGGAATTGCTGGGTCATATGGAAGGTCAATTTCTAGTTCTTTCAGATGCCGCCACACTGTCTTCCAAAGAGGCTGCACTAGTTTGCATTCCCACTGGCTGTGTAAAAGCATTCCTTTTTCTCTGCATCCTCACCAGCATTTGTTGTTTTTTTATTAATGATGGCCATTCTTACCGGGGTTAGGTGGTATCTCAATGTGATTTTGATTTGCATTTCTCTGATGATGAGTGAGGCTGAGTACTTTTTCATGTGTCTGTTGGATACCCATGTATCTTCTTTTGAGAAGTGTCTATTCATGTATTTTGCCCTTTTTAATAGGGCTGTTTGTTTTTTTTCCTTTCAGCACATTTGAGTTCCTTGTAGACCCTAGATGTTAGACCTTTGTCAGATATGCAGTTGGTAAATATTTTTTTCCCAGTCTGTGGACTGTCTCCCTGCTCTCTTGATGGTTTCTTTTGCTTTGCAGAAGCTCATTAGTTTGATGAGGTCCCACTTGTCTATCTTATTTCTTAAGGTATGGGCATTAAGGGTTCTGGCCATTCAGTGATTATACTCCCTATAAGTGGGAAGACTCAAGGCTCTGGAGAAAATGCATTTACAACATACCATGCATGCAATTAGCCATTCAAACTAAAGACGGTGCTCACAAGACAGGTTTTATTGTCATCTTCATCCAGGGACCAGCATGTGGTCAGGAAGACGAGATTCTGGGATCTAAGTGATGGAAATACCTACAATTAGGTGAAAGAACTTTGGGCTACAGATGAAAAAAGGTACTGGAGAGTAAGTAAGGTTTGTAAGAATTGGTAGGAACTGTCCAAAGGGAGTGTGCAGTGGTGCTGGATGACTGGCCCCTGAATGTTCTCTAGAAATGATTTTTCTCTTGAATGGTTTGTGGTAAGTACAGTGGTGTATCACTGAGAAAAAGGCCTGGCTTTGAAAATGCATGGCTCCTTGGTCATAATTCTGCCTCCCCCCAACATTATTCCCAGGACTGATGTGTCTGGAGGAAAGTACAACCTCAGTCTTGCACCAGGTGGCTCTCCCGTTAATTGCTTGGTGATGTGCTCCCTTGAGGGCATGGTTATTGCTGATTGCTGAGTTCTTCTCCCATAGCCTAGTCGCTTCTAGTCACTGGAAGCTGAGTCACTGGCCTAGGACTTGTACTTGTGCTGCCCTGATCAAGCTGCTGAGAGCTGCCAAGCAGCCCTTCTCTTTGGCACCTTTCTGACTGCATGGGTGATGCAGGTTCATAAACACTGAGACTTGCTTAGATTGTTCAAGGAAGTAGCGGTGTTTGCTCTAGAACAGGATTTCACCCATGGTACTACTAACACTTTGGGCCAGATAGTTCTCTGTGGTTGGGGGCCTGTCCTGTGCATAGTAGGAGGTTTAGCAGCAAGACTACTCACAAGATGCCAATACCACCCTGCACTGTAGTTGTGACAACCAAAAATGTCTCCAGACATTGTCTTCTGGGGGACAACACAGCCCTAATGTTGAAAACCTCTGTCTAGGAGCCAACCAGTGAGGAGAGGCTTCCTTGAGGAACACAGCACAAGAATTGCACTTAGGAGTGCATGAGTGTTTCATGGCCCTTACCTTTACGTTGGTAGGAGATGCAGAAATGTTTTCATTACTGGGTGAACTGCCAGTGGAAGGTGTTCAAAGCTAGTTAGAGCTGGTCCCTTCCTGTTAATGGAGGGCTCAGGGAGAAGGATTTGAGAGCAGTGTTTGACTCTGGGGTTCATCTCTTCTCTAACTTCTGCCGACCTTGTCTCCTTGGCAACTGCCCTGAGCAGACTCTCCTCTGCCAAGTCCAGCCCTCTGCTCAGTGTCCTCTCTAAGATACTCTGTAAGAGCTTGGAGAACTGAGTATGTGGCAGGGTCAGTGAAGAACAATCTTTCTAGCCCAGATCAGATTTCTTTTTTTGTTTGTTTGATTTTATTTGATTAAAACAGACGGATGGCAAAGGCCATTCAACATATAATTTCTTTGCTAACATTTAATCTTTAAAGGCATATTAGAGAAAAACTAGGGGTGCTAGGCTCATCTTTCTGATTCCATTACCTCCCTTTCAGCCTTCCCCCACAAGTTATTCCCGCCTTTGCCCTTTCAAGGGAAGAAAGTCTTTTGATTCCCCATAGCACCAGATCAGATTTCTAAAGATGACTCTAAGTGAAACTCCCCTGGGCCTCTGTAGTTGTGTAGTATTTTTCTTTTTTGAGTTGGAGTCTCACTCTGTCGCCCAGACTGGAGTGCAGTGGCCGCTCCTGGCCACCGCAGCCTCGACCTGCTGGGCTCTGGTGATCCTTCCACCTCAGCCTTCCGAGTAGCCGGAACTACAGGCATGCGCTACCATGCCTGGCTGATTTTTTGATTTATTGTAGAGTTGAGGTCTCGCTGCCCAGGCGGGTCTCGAACCCGCGGGCTCAGGCAATCCACTCATCTCAGCCTCCCAAAGACACGGGATTACAGTATGAGCCACCGAGCCCGGCTGTTGTGTAGTATTTTAGTGTTCAGGCTGAAGAGGACTGTACAGAACAGACCTTCACAAGCTCTAGTGGGCATCTTACAAGATTTTGGTTCAATAGGCCTAGGGTGGTGCACAAGATCACGTAGATCTAACAAGTTCTCAAGGAATGTCAGTGATGCTGGTCCTCGTACCATACTTTGAGTAGTTAAAATCTAGGCCAGGGGTCTGCAAACTGTGGTCTGGGGGCCAAATTGGGACTGCCACCTATTTTTGTACAGCCAGTTTTAACAAAACCACACTTATTTACTGATGTATTGTCAATGGTTGCTTTTATGCAAAGTTGGATGGTTGTGACAGAGACAATATGGCTCTCAAAGCCTCTGGTATGTACTCTCAACTCTTTACAGAAAAGATGTGGTGATTCCTGCCCTAGACTAACTTGTCCTATGAGGACCTCGGAAGGTTTTCCACGGAGGCTACTTTTAGGATGGGCCATCCAAAGTTGTCTCTTCTTGGACTTGGCCCGATCTCTTTGTCCCTCTTCCTCTTGCCTCTGGCTCCTGCAATGCTCTGTTGGCGCCTGGGGTATGGAGTCTTGCAGGAAGAGTCTCTGTGTTACAGTAAAACTCTGTCTTACGTGTGGTCCTCTGACAGTCCTGGGAAAGTTCTCTGCTTGGTGCCTCACTCAGAGCTACTGTGAGCCCTGGTGTCCTTCTAGTCTCTAAGGTGGCTCATCCTCAGACCTGTCATTGCTTCCTTCATTCATTTACTCATCTACCCAGCCAGTCGGAATTTACTAACAACTTCCTTTCCTCAGGCACCATGCCAGGTGCTTGGGTAACGAGGATTTATAGGAGACAAGCATAAAACTGATAATTCCAATTGTGACATCATAGGTACAATATTAGAAGAATGTTTTGATACTTTCATAGACAAAGAAAGACATCCGGAGAATTCATGAGGACCTCCACTACAGTAGACCTCCTTTTTTTAATCATGAATTTTATCAGATTTTACACAAATGCGATTTTATGTTTATTGTTATGATGTTCTTCCTGCTAATCTATAAATGTGGTAGATTACATTCATTTGCTACCCAGTTCTTTAATAAGTGAGATAACATCTTTTACCTAAAATTAAGCCATTAACTTAAGCCATTCATATCGATAACTTGGTATGAATTAGAACTTTCTTGACTTCAATTTTAATATCACTAAAAGATAAATCTGCTACCATTCTTGTTAAACCATATTTGACTGCAGGGTTCGCTAAATGAAGTAACATCCAAAATTCACTGTTGTACCTCATCAGCACCTTATTATTATTGTTGTTATTAATTTTTGAAATTGTGGCAAAATAAACATAACAAAATTTACCATTTTAACTTATTTTGAGTGTACAGTTCAGAAATACATTTGCCTTATTGTGCAACCATTACGATCATCTATTATTCCCTGTGCCCTGTACAATAGCTTTCTTTCTTTCCCTTTTCCCAGCTCCTAGCAACCATCCTTCTATTTTCTGTTTTTTATTAATTTAACCACTTGAGGTACTTTATATTTGTGGACTCATCCGATATTGGTCCTTCTGACTGGCTTATTTCACTTAGCCTAATTCTTCAAGGTCCATTCATGTTGTAGCATGTGTCAGAATTTTGTTTTTAAGGCTGTAATATTCCATTGTATGTATATACCACATTTTGTTTACTCATTCATCCATGGATGGACATTTGGGTTACTTCCACCTTTTGGCTATCGTGACTAATGCAGCACTGAACATTGATGTACAAATTCTGCTCAAGTCCCTGTTTTCAATTCTTTTGAGTGGAATTGCTGGGCCATATGGTAGCCTATGTAAATTTTTTGAGGACCAGTCATACTATTTTCCATAGTGGCCCCACAATTTACCTTCTCACCAACAGTGCACAAGGTTTCCAACTTCTCCCCCTTTCCAGTATTTGTTATTTTCTGATTTTTTTGACAGTCATCATCCTAATGGGTATGAGGTGATATCTCACTGTGGTTTTGATTTGCATTTCCTTAATGCTTAGTTATGTTAAGCATCTTTTCATGTGCTTATTGACTACTTGTATATCCTCGAGAAATGTCTGTTTAAGTCATTTCCCTTTTTTTTTTTTTTGCGTTGGAGTCTCACTCTGTCACCCAGACTGAAGTGCAGTGGCATGCTCCTGGCCACTGTGACCTTGACCTGCTGGGCTCTGGTGATCCTTCCGCCTCAGCATTCTGAGTAGCCGGAACTATAGGCATGCACTACCACGTCTGACTAATTTTTTATTTACTGTAGAGACGAGATCTCGCCAAGTTGCCCAGGTCTCACTTTGTTTTCCAGGCTTGAATGCAGTGGCATGATCATGACTCACTGCAGTTTTGACTTCCTGAGCTCAGGAGATCCTTCCACCTCATCCTCCCAAGTAGCTGGGACTAGTGGCACATGCCACCACACCCAGCTGTTTTTTATTTTTTTGTAGGGACAAGGTCTCCCTGTGTTGCCTACCCTGGTCTCAACCTCGTAGGCTCAAGAAGTCCTCCTGCTTTGGCCTCCCAATGTGCTGGAATTACAAGTGTGAGCCATCACACCTGGCCCATTTGCTCATTTGTAAATTGGATTGTTTTTTGTTGTTGTTGTTGAGTTGTAGGAGCTCTGATAGTAGGAATTAAGATATGTGGGAGTCTGGATATTAATCCATTATCAGATATGTGATTTGTAAATATTTTCTTCCATTCTGTGGGTTGCCTTTTCACTTTAGTGTGTCCTTGGATTCTCAGTTTTTAATTTTAATGGAGTCCAATGTATCTATTTTCACTTTTGTTGCCTGTGCCTTTGGTTATATTCAAGAAATCATTGTCAAATCCAGTGTCATGAAGTTTTACCCCTGTTTTCTCCTAAGACTTTTATAAAAGTTGTAGCTGTTACATTTAGGTCTTTGATACATTTTAAGCTAATTTTTTATATGGTGTAAGGTAAGAGTCCTTTTGCATGTGGATATCAAATTTTCCCAATACCATTTGCAAAAAGATGGCCTTTTCCCACTGAATGATTTTGGCATGCATCCTGAAAATCATTTGAACCTATATGTAAGGGTTTATTTTTGGATGTTCTATTTTATTTAATTAGCCTATATGCCTGTTTTTATGCCAGTCTCATGCTGTTTTGATTACTATAAATTTGTAATAAATTTTGAAATCAAGAAGAGTGAAACTTCCAACTTTGTTATTTTTTTGAATTGTTTTGGCTATTCAGGGTCCCTTGAGATTCCACATCAATTTTAGTATGGATTTTTCTATTTCTATTTTAAAAGTCAGTGGGATTTCGGGACTTCCATAGACATTTTGAATTCTCCCTTGAAGGAAACATTTGCTACACAGATGAGGGAAAGGGAGCATTTAGGCAAGAGAAAGAGCATGATCAAGAAAGCATGAAAAGATGAAATAGCTTTGGGGGAACTAAACGCAATCTGGTATTGTAAAAGCATTAAGCATGCTTGTATCTCTGTGTATCTGTAGATGTGTGTGAATGTCAACCTGGGTAGGAGGCAAACTAGGAGCTAAGGCAGGTCAGATGTTGTGGAAGTAGACGTGTGTTGTGTTAACAAGTTTAATGGGAATTCATTAAAGGGTTGGGCAGTGGAGTGATGTGATCATATTTGTACTGTGGAAGGATGACCCTGTGGGTGACAACGGGTACTCTATTGAGCAGGAAGATGATGTCAGCAGAAAGACCAGGCAGGAGATGGTTGGAAAACTACCAGAAATGATGAGTCTTGCACAATGGTAGCATAGATACTTTCATAGACAAAGAAAGCCTAAAACCATATTTAATTGCAGGATTCTCTAAACGAAGTAACATCCAAAATTTACTGTTGTACCTCATCAGTACCTTATAGTTATTGTTATTATTAATTTTTAAAATTGTGGTAAAAAGCACATAGCAAAACTTACCATCTTAACTTATTTTGAGTGTACAGTTCAGAAGTGCATTCGTCTTGTTGTGCAACCATCACTGTCATCCATTATTCCCTGTACGCTGCACACAAGCTCTTTTTCTCTCCCTTCCCCCGGCTTCTGACAACCTTGTTTAGCGTGTGTTTGGGGACAGGCAGCAGGGACTGGATCTGAAATAGCCTTGTTTCACTCTACACTGAGACATATTGCAGAAGCTTTACTCTTTCCCTGGACCTGCAGAATAGCCTCTGAACTCAGGGATGGTGGTTTTAACTCTATACCTGTATCATCCAATTGTGGCCTTTTGGTAACTCAAAGGGCCATTGACAGAGGCCCTGTGCTTGGCTGAGAGGTTCAAGGGCTCCTCAAATATCACTCCACCGCCCAACCTCCAAAGCTCCTACTCCTTGTCCTGCCACTCTCAGGGCCTCTGACTGCTCTAAGGATCTTGTGACTGCTTCTTCTTACCTGTGAGTTGGCCTGCCTTTCCTTGTTTTGGTCTTTCCTAAAGCCTGTTTAAAGCCACCTGAGTGAGAGTGTTCTTTTCTGTTGTAACTCATTCCATTTACCTTCTGGAACTGTGACTCTCTAGGTCCTCTAAAGATGTCTCGTGTTACTGACGTCTGTGACCCACTGAGAGCCTAAGTTCCTTTCTCAAGGACTGGAGCCTTCTGCTTCCCTAGCTTTCCCCAAGCCTGACATTTCTTTGCATCCCATGACTCAGTTTCCCACCTTCAGCTCAAAGCAGCACCGAATGTGAGTCACTGGGGATCTTTGCTACTTCTGTTCCCCTCCATGCTTAGGACCTCTCTGTGCACTGAGATTGATCCCAAGTCCCTGTTCTGACTCCTGGCAGGATGGTTCTGTTGGTGGACAGTCTGTGGGGCATGTATGTGTTCAATTGGCCCATCACAGTCACAGGAGGAGTCGTGGAACTGGGGACAAGGAGAAGACCTGATCTCCCAAATTCTTGTGAATATTGTAGAACTAGACCCACTTTGGCAGTTCTGAGCTGGCTAGCTCTGACCCACTGCTAAGGACACATATTTGATTACCCGAGGGATGAGGCAAACTGATCAAAGTACACAAGTGTTGTCAGTGTAGGCTCCTGGGAAAGCAAAGCAGGAGAGGAGAGGTCTGTGGCTTGGGGTAGAAATGCAACGATGAGAGTGATGATGATATGAGCTCGACGCTCTGTGCCTCAAAGACGAACCAAGGAGAACATGATAAAGAGTACCAGGAAAGGTGAGCAGGGAGTGTTTGAGTGGGAAGTTGGGTGTAGACGGGAAAGAGAATGAAGAAAGACCAGGAAAATCAGGAGGTAAGGATTTGCCACCTCCTTGAAAGCCAAGAAGCTCACTTAGGAGGACAGGACCCCAGATCTTTGTGGCCACCCCTGGCTAGGAAACCTTGCTGGCATTGAGGAGACTGGCTCTTTACCCCTGAGCCCAGGCCACCTGGAACCCAGCCTCAGGAAAGCAGGATATGTCTCACCACTCACTTTGTGTTTCCAAACAGAAGAGAAGAGAGGGAGAGTGGCCACCCCGATTTAGCCGAGAACCTCCAGAAGGTCATCTCTGGATGCCCCATGAGGCTGCCTCTCAGCCACAGCCCAGAGCACACGGAGATGGCTTTGCTCAGCAGCATCCTAGCGGCCTATTCCTTCATCTCAGGTAGGTGCCTGGTCTCGGCTGGGCCAGGGCTGAGCCCTGGAGCTGGGTCCAGGGCTGTCTCCTGGGTGGCCAGCTCTGGTCTTATATGCAGGAGAGAAACGCTGTACAAGCGTAGCAAGGCCTCTGCTGTGCTGAGTTTTGAGATGAAAGGTCTTCCGGTTGGGAGTTAAGCTTGGCATTCTCTAATTTGGCAAATGAAGGGTTCTAAGAGCTTTATCTTACAGAAAATGTTTGGTTTCCTTTCAGCTCGAGTGAGGGAGCGAAGTAGCCTGGGGCAACCATTGGCTTCTGTCGTTCTGCATTAACTCTGAGGAGGGAGGGGGTTGAGGAAATACATAGGCCTGGTTATTTCTACGCAGTTCTCAAACCCACACAGGCTGCTGGTGTGTGTGTGTGTGTGTGTGTGTGTGTGTGTGTGTGTGTGTGTGTGTGCGCGCGCATGTGTGTGTGTGTTTGGGGGCTGTCAGAGGTGTTTTATAACCTTCTGGGAGACATGGTGACAGAAGGTATGTTTTTGGAAAGAGTCTGATACTCGCCCCTTTCTTGGTTCAAAGTTGTACTCTTTGGGAAGATGGCTGACTTTCTCTTTAAGATCATTTCCTGAAAACAGATGTTGCCCATATAATAGGAACCGTTTAAAAATACATGAACATATTGGTGGTTTGAGTGACCAAACGGCTCCTCTGTTTTACATTTTTTGATACTTTGCTTTTGTTTTGCCTGATGTGTCTGGATGTTGTCTGAAAAGGAAGGGAGTCAGATTCCGATTCGATGCCCTTTAGACACAAACTCGTCTTACTTTCCAATTCTCTAGCCAGGGTTGATATGTGTTGACCTAAGAGTTCAAATGCAAAACCTGACATTTCTATTTACAATGGCAAATCTGAACCAAGGCTGGATAGTGTCATGAGCCAAGCTCATGGCTTCTCTTTGCGAGGGGATCTTAGGTGACATGTAACCTGATTTTAGAAAGAAGGACTTCTCAGAGCTTACCTGCTGGCTCCTTTGTGGTTGGTGAGATGCAGCATGTAGTTTACACATGCCCGGAGTCCAGGGCTCTGCCTTCTTGCATCAGCAAAGGCCTAGGTCATCATTAAGCTCCTCTTCTCATTTAAGGAAGTCCAGGGGCCTCCTTACCTGGGCCCTCACACACCACAGGAAGCTCATTTTTTCTCTTTTTTCAAGGCTGTACTGGGAAGAATGGACACTAGTGCTGGGAAAGAGATGTTGGCATGTTTGACATGTTTTCACAATGACTGAATGATAATTCCCTGACCTCTGTAGTGAAGATTTCTCCCAAATGTAGAGGGGCTGGCAGAGAAAGCCTGGAGTTTCAAGGCCTCAAAGGATGCTTGCAAATCAGCTGTTGCAAGACTATGTCTCCAGTGACAGCAAACAGAACACTGGCCTTTGGATCTCTGCTCGGCACAGGAGGTACCTGGCAGTCTTCCACTTCAGCCCGCATGACCCTGTGTTGTGACCACTGAAAGCAGTAACTTATTGAATGGTCTGTTTCCCATGTGTCTTGTGATCTCGTCAAGGCAGAAAAGGTACACAGCCCTGTTTTTCCATCCTCTCCAAACTTCCTTCTTCCCACCCCATACTCTTGAATAAAATACTGCTTGGGGTGCGGGAAGATGATGCTTCTCTTTTTTTATTATTTATTTAAAATTTTGGGGTACAAATTCAGGGTATACAAATATTCACCATGACGATGCTTTTCTTAGATGAGTATGGCTGAGATTAAAAGAATAAAAGGAAATGCAATGTAGGATGGCTAAAATAAAATGGCATCCGATAAACAGACTGGATGACTGAAAATGGATTCTGAAATGGGGAACACATCTTGATTATAAATGAAATGAATCAATAAAATTTAAAAGTTAAAGGTGAATATAACAGATACCGAGAATCATTGTTTTTAAAGAAGAAAATAAAATAAATGGATTGGAAACAATGATGAAAAGCAATAATGAAAGAAAATTGTGGAAATTGTCCTAATCTTGTAATTCCTCATGTCCTCATTCTGCTGTACCTGGTCTTCAACTACTCAAGGACTTCAACTACCCTTCCTATTTTCTTCCCAGTGTATCAGTTGCCTCTTGTCCTATCGGGTGGTCCACTATTTCAGCAGCATACCTGCCAATACACACAACTGTCTTATTCCTTTGTCCAGCTTCTGAATAAACAAATAGTCAAAACCCTAACTCTGAGGCAATCCTACTTACTTCTTCTCTCTCTTTCCATGTGTGTGTGAGCACACACACATGCCCTTTGTTTAGGGGCTGTCTGAGGTGTTGGATAACCTTATGGGAGAGATGAGACAGAAGGAATATGTGTCTAGGAGGGTCTGATCTTCCTTGGCTCAAAGTTGTACTTTTTAGAAAGATGGCTGACTTTCTCCCCAAGCCCATTTCTTGAAAACAGATGCCGCTCCTATAAAATGAGTCACTTAATACATGGAAATGCTCAGTGGTTTGAATGACCGAGTTGCTCTTCTGCTGCCTGAGTGAGTTTTAAATTTTTGGACAGTTTGCTTGGTTTCGCCTGCTGTCTCTGGATGTTATATAAAAAGGAAGGCACTGAGGTTTTGAATTGATTTCCTTTGAGTAAGGACCGGTTTCCAATTCTCTAGCCAGGGTTGATATGTGGTGACTTAAGAAAGGTGACGCTTTCTCTCTCTGTGCCAAAGTTTTCAAGGGCCGCTGCAATTTGCAGCTTGAAGCCACTAGAAATTCGTGATCTCCAATCTCAGCTGAGTCTTTCATGTAGTGCTTTCATCTTTCTATGTGCTTCTGGATATATTTTGTCCCTATACTTCACAAGAGCCATTTCAAATCTTGACCATTCTAATAATTTCTAATGTCTGCTTACCAAAATGGACTCTACAAGTAAATGATAAGTGAAAAACTAGAAAAAATGTAGCATCATGAAGAAAGGTTAAAGCTTAGGACATATAAAAGCTGTTACGAATCAATGTGTCCCCAAAGAAAATTTGTCAAAAGACAAGAATCAGCAATTTGCAAAAGAAGAGACACACACTATTAATAAAACATAAGCAGCTCAAATTCTAGCAAATAAATGCAAAATGAAAACAGCAATGAGATGAACATTTTTCCTTTATGTACTTTTCACAGATTTGAGTGATTAAGCACATAACTTTATCTTGAGAAAATGTGGGGAGATGAGTACTCCACATAGTGTTTTGGGGTTGTGAATTGCTACATTGTAACTACAGAATCATTTGTCCATATCCATCAGAAGCCTTAAATATACATACGCTATTCCCACTTCTAGGAATTTCTCCTAAGGAAATAACTAGGGATATGGGTAGAAATTTTACCATGAGAATGAATAATTCATCTCAGAGATGTTTAAAATACAGTAGTAAAAAATTAGAAAAATTGATGAATATTAACCGAAGTGAAAGATGTCTATGATGTGCCGTTATGTTAATAAAGCCTGCTACCACATATCACAGAATCCCATTTATGTGTATATACTCACATGTATATGTAACCACATTTTACTACAAATTATATCTGGGTGCCAGGACTGTACAGTTGTGTGTCTATGTAGTTTTAATTTTCTTTTGCTGAGCAGTATTTTTAAGTATTCTGCAATTAATTGATATCGCTGTGTAATAAGTAACAATATTTTGTTAGAATATTAGATTTGAGTTATGCCTTATATACACTAGACAGTTACCACTCTGTAATCTTTTGTGATTTCCTGAGCTGTGTAGTATCTAAGTGTCCTAAAAATTACCACTTGGATGTGTTATAAGCGTTTAAAATTCAACCTACCTAGAATATTGTCTTCCCCCCCCCCCTTGATTTGGAGTCTCACTCTGTGGCCCAGGCTGGAGTGCCATGGCATACTTACAGCCACCCCAGTGTTGACCTGCTGGGCTCCGGTGATCCTTCCATCTCAGCCTTCCATGTAGCTGGAACTACAGGCATGAGCCACCACGCCCGGCCAATTTTTGATATATTGTAGAGACAAGGTCTTACCAAGTTGTCCAGGCTGCTTTCGAACCCAGAGTCTCAGATAATCCACTCATCTCAGCCTCCCAGAGTGCTAGGATTACAGGCTGAGCCATCGAGCCCGGTCTGTCCTTCTTTTTAAATATGCTCCTTCTTTTGTGTACCCACATAGGTCATCACCTAACCCAAAAATATGATTTTTAACTTTATTTTCCCTCCTAGTTGAGGTCTCACTCTGTTGCTCAAGCTGGAATGCAGTGGCATGATCACAGCTCACTGCAGTCCCGACTTCCTGGGTTCTAGCTATCCTTCCTCTTCAGCCTCCTGAGTAGCTGGGACTATAGGCACATGCCACCATGCCCAGCTGGCTAATTTTTTTTTTTGTAGAGGTCTCATTATGGTTGCCCAGGCTGGTATCAAACTCCTAGACTCAAGCAATCTTCTTGCTTCAGCCTCCCAAAGTGCAAGGGTGAGTCATCACACTTGGATGATTTCTAGCTTTTGATGTTTCTTTATTGCCCATATCTAACTGGTTTGGATTGGTTCATTTTGGTCCTCAATGCCCCTCCAATGTGTCCCCTCCACTTTACTCCCATCACCATTGACTTGGTTCAAGCCTTACCATAATGGTGTTTACGTGGTCTTCCTGCCTCCACAATCTTGTTTCATAGCCTGCATTTTGCAGCAAAAAAATGATCTTTCCAAACACAGATGGGACGATGCAATTTTAAAAATTTTTACACTTCCCCAGTGGATCCTCATTATCTCTGGGATAAGATTCTAACACTTGTGTATGGTTTTACAAGATTGTTTTTAGCAGCAAATAATGAAAACCTCAACTTGGTGGCATAAACACATAGATGTTATCTTAGTCACATAATAAGAAGTCTGGAGGTAGGTGGTTGCTAGCATTAGCCTATTGGCTCAAAAATGTAGGAGCCAGTATTTTTCTTTCTATTCCTGGCTTATTTCACTCAGTATAAAGTCCTACAGGTTCATCTATGTAGTCACAAG